GCCGCCCGTCCTCTGCGCACTCACACAGCACCCGAGTGAAAAGCAGGATCTGTGTGGCGAAGACTGTGCTGGCTTTCAACAGGAAAGGTGTTTTTTATTACTGTCATATATGAATTATTGACTTCCTGACACAGAGATGTTGTGCTTATGCTCTGTTCTTCCTCTGCATGACTTTACCACCATAAAGGAAATTATAACCATGCGCATCCTGGCAAACAATAAAAAAAATAGGATTTAATGAGAAATTTGTTCTCCTCAAATCATTCCCTTCAATACAAAACCAGTCCAAGGCCTGGCTTTAACCTAATTAGCTCAGCACAACAACAGCGGCACTTCATGCAGACGTTGCACTGCTGCTCATTCGGGTCAGCCGCCAGCTTCCCCGAGCAGCCTCTCCATATACGGGGAAGGGAAAAGCGGCAGCTCCCGGCGAGCCACGCTGAGGTCAGGGCACAGCCGGCCGAGAGCCAAATACGGTGCCTGCGCCCCGGCTCGCACAGCCCCGCGCCCACGGGGCACGGAGCTGGACCCAGGGCGGGAGGTTTTAGTGTAGGAAAAACGCTGCCCTGGAAGGGTGCGGTTTGGGAGAGCAGAGCCCAGGGACTCCGAAGAGGAGACGGCCATGCCTTGGCCGTCTTTAAGCGTCCGTTGACTTGTTCTTTAGCAGCTCCTCTGGAGCCGTCGCTGCTGGCTGCGCGGCAATCCACGACAGGGAACCAGTCCAGGTTAAACTAGATCTTGGGTGGGGTGGATTTAAAAAACCTGGATAGATAGATCTCCCTCTGCATCCAGCTCAGTGTAGTGCAAAAGGACCAATCCTGGTGTCCTGATGGAGGAAAAACATGCTCCCAGCTTCAGGGGGGAAGCTGCTTGCCCCTGCAAGAGCCAACATAATTCCTCCTAACACGTCAGCAGAGGGGCCGCTGAACTCGATTAGTGAGTACCCTTGTATCCTTAAACAGAAGAATATTGCTGGGCGTTAGCTAATCTTCATCAAGGCTAAAAATAAATAAAAATGGACAAGTTAATACCACCCCGAGGAAATAATTCATGTTACAGGCTGTATAGAAAAACATTTCTCAGCAGACTCAAATCTACTGGTAAGAGATTTCTTCGCTTGCCTTTAATAACAGGGGTCACAGCAGGAGGGAGCAGTCAGGGGAAGTTTTTCTCCATCGTGCCATACAGCTGAGAGAAAAAAAGAAAAAAGCGAGCACTTCCTTTATGAACTATTCTGTAAGACTGAAATAAGGGAAAGGTCTTTGTAATTGTAAACTCCTCTGCCAGTGGTTAGTATCTAAAGCAACATACTGACCTGGGAATAAATGGACATATTTTCCGCTAACTAGTTACATTTTAATTAACCATTTCCCACCATTTGTATCTTACAGATCCAGCTAGTTTTCGTTAGTCTCAGGTCCTTAACTGCTCCAAAATCTGCTGCTCTAGTGGGAACACGCTTTGAGATGTCCCAGCATTTTTAACAAAAAAAGAAAACCAAGTTTTTACCCAGTCTACTACAAAACAATATACTCTGCCATGTAAAACAAGAGCTCTAAGTTTGACAGTAATTAGCATTTTGATCTCCTGAGAAGTCTATTGTTTAAACCATTTTTACTATTAGATTGCTTCTTAGCCATACATGCATCCTCACAGCAGCTCAGCTCAGTCTCACAGTGCAACCCCTTCACAGGCAGACTCTGCATACCCAGTCCTTTCATGCAGCACCCAGTCTGAGAGGGCTGGACTATCTCAGCCATTAAGATGCTTCTTCAACATGAACAAAATGTCCCTGGCTACCCTATGCTGCCATTATTTCATATGAGGAGCTTTAAATAGACTTTTCCTCTTAGGCATATGTATGTAAAACAGCTCTCTGTACACTGCCACATTGCCTGTTTTACTATATTCTTGCACATTCTCCCAGCTTCATGGAGCAGCAACAGTCTCTGGGTTGCTTATTCAGCTACAAGTAGCACAACCAGATCCCAAGTTCACGACCATGGCTACGAAGGGCTACCACAGCAGATGAACCTGTTTGTTTATGAAGAACTAGCAAAGCTGGAAATGTACTTTTTCTGCTAGAAAAGGCACTGTGTGGAAGGTGAGCACGGCCGTTTGGTCTCTGCCGCTCTCAGTCTGCCTGTGGTCAAAGGAGGGAATTCCCTAAAGAACTCTAAAGAAAAGCAAGGAGCTGGTGTTAATGTGTGAGAAATATTAGTTTGAAACCCTAGTTTTCCAGCCCAAGAAAAAAAACAAGTTGGAAGATTAAGAGGCAATGCCTTCCTCCCAGCTCCTCAGACAAGTCTTCCGACCACGGTGACAAGCATTTACACAAGAGCATTAAACGCTCCAGAGAAACATGGCACCAACCGCTGGGCAGAACAGACACTGAGCTGCCAGATCGCATTATTTTATGGGATTTTATTTAGAAAACTTCTATTAATCTCAGGCAGTGGAATACCACTGGGAGGAAAGCGCCTAAAATAGAGCAAGAGACGCCTGCTGCCGCTTCAGAGTATTTTGTCTTACTCGAAAGGGCATACGCTCTCCTCAGGACAGGAGCCTGGAAGATGGTTCCTGCTGCCCATGTTTGGGAAGGCGCAAGGAACTTTTCTTCAGGATGCGCCTGTCAACATGCAGCACTTGCTTCCCAAAAAACTCTCCCCCAGTTGCCTTACCGGGCATGGACACCGGCCAGCGCCCTTGCAGATACCGCACCTCGTCCTACGCAAAAAACTGTCACGTCTGAAGCTATTTTGGCCTGTTCGCTGCAGCTAACCGCCGTTTGCAAACATGAAAATCCTTGTTTACACCGAGTGCTTCTGACACATTTTGCAGGGCAGAGAGCACCAGCGGAGAGCCGGGAACAGCCAGCACAGGCGCTGGGGAGCCGAGAGCAACGCCGCTGAGGCAGGGTCCTGAGGCTGGGGTAGGCAGAAGCACCCGTGGCTGGACACAAAAGCACAAGAACAACAGAGGAATCGTGGACAGGGATGGGTAGACGATTGCAAGGAAGCAAAGAGGCTGCGGGCAGAAGCGGACGGGAATGAGCCAAGTGCACAGATGGAGACGGGGGAAGGAAATCCCAGGGGTGGAGGTGGGATGGAGACAGAGGGATGGAAGGAGAATGGCTGGGGTGGGGAGCAGCAGAAGTCAGCCCTGCCGAGAGGAAGGGCCGCATCCTGCTGGAGCTCACCGCTGCCCTGCTTGGGGGAACAAGAACACCCTCCGGAAAGCCAGTTTTGCTCAGAGATGGCTTTAACCCCCACCCCCAGAAACACACACCTGGTTTCTCAGCCCCAACACACTGACTCAGGCTTCTCAGGGCATTCTTGGGGGAAAAACAGCTAAAATTACTCAGGTGAGTAGAAACATTATACTTTTTGCTAATGTTCCTAAGATAGAGTTGAAAGGAAAGATTTAACCAAACGAAGCTATTTTCACTTTGGTTTGGCTTTCAATGTCTGTTCCAGAGACGGAAATAGCTTTATGGCAAGTTATTGGCGCTTAAGTGAAGTCTCACCACCAAGCTGTAATCTTCTGCAGACAAAATCTGCACGAGCAATGTCAGAAGCTGATGCTTCCAGCAGACTTTTTTAAGATATCCTTGCGTATCAAGATTATCTTCCTTCCCAGTTACAAGCCAATCATGAAACATTAAGCTTTCAACAGAGCATGTGCACGGAATAACATTATGAAAATGAGTAGTTTAGAATTATGAACAAGTCCCTCACTTGAATACACATCAGAAGTTAAATTTACTGTTCTAAGATCCAATTTGCATCAGTGGATGATGTCTGTAACACAAGAGAAACCACATCAAAGCTGCCAAGAGTAGAGATGGGTGACATTTTCCAACAAATCACAGTCCATCAAAAATGGAGCTTTAACCCCAAAGAGGGCAGAAAACTTTCCAAAAAACGCTGCAACATTTTAGATTCAGTATCTTCTCTCTCCTCCAAATCTTTACTCATGCAGGGGGGGAGGAACTCAACTAAACTAACTTAATTAACTAACTAAACTAACTAAATTAACTCAACTAAAAAATAATCAACAGAAAGGAGGCAGGGACCTTTGTCCAGTGAGCGGGCAATGCTCCATCCCCAGCTCCGGGCAGGAGTGTAAACTGGCTGTCCAACAGACCCACTGCAAGGAAACAGTTGTTTTAAATGTTTTATTGAAATGAACTTCAAAGAAGTTTCTATCTTAGTTGGTATACACAGGCATACACATACAAAAGAATAGCCTAGTTCACACTGCTGGCCAAGAAGAGTTTTTGTTTTGGTTTTTTTTTTTTTTAAGTCTTGTTATTTTTTCAGTTTATAAATAAATTCCTTCTTGGACAATACACATGTTTTGGAAAGCTCTTTATGGACCACTGGAACCCAAAGTAAGTTTACAGTTTGAGCGCTGCTGTTTCGATCACACAATGAACTCCCCCGTGCCAATAACACGGCTGGAGCTCTACCGTTCTGCCATTTGGCATGGGACCTTCTCCACCATTTCTGTGGGTCCTGTGTCCTGATCTCCATGCAGGGGAAAAAAAAACATGGAAATTTTTTTTTTTTTCCCCCCAAAGATGCGGTTAAATGGCTTATACATCGTTGTGAAGATTTAAAAGAACTTTAAAGAGATTTCCTATAAAGCTCCCAGCCATGGTTATATCATCACTTATAGCATCCGGCTCCTGCTCAACACGGGGCCTGAGCTGCCTCTCCCAACACCACAGCTGTGAGCCAGCACCAGGACAAAAGAGAAGCAGCACCTCACAGCAGAGCTAGATCTTGCACACTTCTCAATTTAGTTTAAGGATGAAAACAACTTTAAAAGGTTTTTGACCATTTCCAATTCCAGCCTTCTGGGTTCTAGGCAAGGAAAAGCAACTACATCTTTAACATGGTTGCATTTTAAGCCACTGATGATTTTAAACAAGCTGTTTCATTGTTAGGGGGGCAATTCTTTAAATCACAGGGGATATCTGCTTTGCGCAGAAGAGTGAAAAAGTTCAAATCCCCAGACGATGCTACCGTTTGTAGCCAGACTTGTAACCATCAGTCCTTCAAATGGTTCAGTACCTCTTGAAGGCTGATAAGCTCAAATTTAAACAGCGAACAGGAAAAGTGCAGCATAAGAAATCTTCAGCAAACTCCAGTGGCAGCCAGCAGCACTGTCCTTTTGCTCACTGCAGCCGAGTTGAAAATACCCAGAAAGTGGTTTTCTCTGGAGGGAGCGAGGCAGCAGGCGGAATGCTGTGCTGCTGCCACGACAAATCCACTTCCCGCAGGGCGTCCCGCAAGCTGAGCTGCGCACCATGCCCCAGCCCGCTCCCACCGCACCTCCGGAGCCCCCACAAGAGAGCAAACCGGGTGGCTAAAATCATCAGCTGGGCATCAGTCCTGCCTCTGGGGGCTGTGCAGGGGCACTGCTACACAGCCCAAGGAGTCAGGTAGCGAGGCAAAGAGAAATAAAGCTAAATATGTCCACTAGCAGCAGTGTTTATCTTCCCTTTATGTTCTAGTGTCAGTGACTTTAGGACTTGACCACCTCTGTTGCTGTGGCTGGCTAACACCATAGCAATTCACAGCCACTTTTTGGAATTAAAAAAAATGTGGGGGTTTTTT